GAGCAAAAAAATGATGTGTATCTGGAAGGGAATTGTGCTCATTTTAAGAGACTTAATAATATATATTGTTCCTTGGCTTTTTATTGAAAAGGTATATTGATGAAGCAGGATAAATTTTAAAGATGAATGTAGGCCTTTTCAAGCCATTGAGGTCTCTTAGTCCACAATACTTATAAGTTGTGGGGAAACAAGCTGGCTTATAGAAGATATAGCGAATTACTAAACTGGGTTACGTAACGACAAGCTTTGTGGTCTAAATAGTTTAAGGTCGGGGGAGCTTAAACTTCATGGTGGTTGGAAATCGGAAAATGCTAAGGATATGTACACATTGGAAAAATAATCTTTTATCTAAAATTAGTACTGAATTTAGGTGTGTAGAAAGCTTGTTTTTCAAATAGTCTGGTCTTATTATTACTCGGAAATAGAATAATAAAATGTCAGTTTTGGATTACAACCAAGCATCATGTAGTAGTTTGTCATGAATTTAGAGAATATAAAGGAAAATAATTTAAATAGTTTGTTTATGTGTAGCGAATTATAACGTAAATACATTTACCGTATACCCTAAAAGGAAAGAATATAAAAGTGTTCCGCGTTTTTTTTTTTTCTTCACTGCCATCGATAAGGGATCGGTGCTTGTCGATTATGAATCGTTTCCGAAGATGCGCAGTACGGTTTTTATTACTGTCGAGCAACGTACGAAAATCACACGAAAACTAAACGAGCTTTGAGGGAAAAAAAGAATGAAAAATAAGAATATTTAAGGTGGCTGCCTACTTTTGAACGTTCGAATTGAGCCCACGATGAGCGCGCGCTCAAAAACCGCTGAAAAATCTACAAGATTTTATTGAAGAACCATACGCGTTTTGAGCTTCAACAGGGCAAAACCCTCAAATTTTGCACGGGACTCTATATTTTTTGATAGCTCATTCGAAAAAACTCCTAAAAATCTAGGTTATATCAACATTTTAGGAAAAGTTTAAATCAGGAACACGTGAAAAAATAGATTTTTGTAGGGATTTTTGTTCGACTTTATGAGATTTTTTAAGAGCACCGAAATTGCAAAATATGACAAATCAATGTATCTCTCTGTCTTTTTGTCGAAAATATCCATGTATTATTGTAGAAGGATTGACTAGCCTTCGTTCGTGCAATCATATAGTCTGCAAATAACTCTTATCTTATGAATCTTAATTTTTTTCTAATCACTTCCAGTGGCGCAAGTTTTACTCCAAAAGCTCTTGCGGAGGCTCCCATTAAATGCTGATTATCTCGAAAACGAGCTCGGAACACCCTATTTTCCTTTCCAGATTTGGAATCAGCATTAAATTTCAATTCGGAAAATCGAAGTTTAAAAAAATGCTTAAATCAATTTCCAAAAGTAGGCAGTCACCTTAAAGATCAATTCTAGAAATGAAGATCATAGGAAAGTTATCGATTGGTTCAATTAATAATACATATTTAATTTCAAGCTGCAATAAATAAATAAACAAATAAATAGACAACTAAACAAATAGACATAGAGAATAATACATGGTGACGCGGAGATATGGAAGTTATCTTCGAGTGTTCAATTAGACGAGTGAGCGCTGCGAACGAGTGAGTTATTGAATTTGAACACGAGAAGATGGCTTCCATATCTCCAAGCGGCCATGTATTTTTCTGTTTATTATATAAACCATAGCACTGTATTTTTTCCAAACGATTGAATTTTATTGAAGAAAACACCCCAAATACAAAGTTCAATTCGACATAAAACCGAGAATTTATAAATACAGTCTCTAATAAACAAACCCAAATCAAGTTCAACTCTAGRCTGTTCACCCTCGTAGGGTTGTTGGTTCATATTCCTCACCGTTTTTCTTTCTGATTAATAGCAAAAAACTGGACAAATACGAGTCGAGTTCTTGAGGGGAAATCTCTTCAAACGGTTGAGTCTCCTTCTCAGTTGTGAGAAATAACTGAATGAGCGACAGGTCTTTCTTTGTCTTTTTTTGGTGTTTGCATTTTCCTCCTCCTCGATAAAATCTATGACGTCTTGTAAATCAAATGTGACAAACCTTTCAGCCATGTTTTTGAACTTAATTTTCGATAACTTTAACAAAATTATCGAACGAGTGAGAAATCTTCGCAACCACATACGAGACAAAGCTGCCGACCGTTGTGATTTCCCCGCGCCTGTGAGAGCAATGACGTCACAGAATACTGAAAACTGATTGGTTATAATTTTACTTGTGAAAATTATCGTATTTTTACATGTGTTAAAATACGAAATTTCTCAGTTGTAGAAATCTTTGTAAACAACTATAGTTTATATAATAAAAATAAATAAATAAACAAATAAACAAACGAACAAACAAATAAATAAATAAATAAATGAATGAATACAAATAAATACGAATAGAAGCATACCTGTTCAGCGAATAATTCTCCAATATCATCGTAACTCTTGCCCGTATGATCAACGGCTTGTGTTAACCTTTCTGAATCTAAAGTGACAAGCAAGACAAGATTAGCTAAATATCACGTCCAAGCAAGGACCTTGTGTAGATCCAACACATATTGTTCGAAAAGGGCGGGCACAAAGAGAATTGAGTAAGATTATAGGTGATTTAGCAAGATTATGGAAACAGCAGAAGCGAGATTTGGCGGGGATGGATAAGATTAAGTGACATAAGTAAAAACCCAAGATTATTTCGAAAAGAAAATGCAGGATTTGTGGAGATTTGGACAAATGTCGAGAGTAACCCAATCCTCTCTTTCCGTTCAACTAGCCAACCAATAAATACGCGATATCAGTGCGTGGGTATCTCACCCGAGGTTGGCGTGAAAAAATAACAATATATATAAACTGAATTTGTTTATAATTAACGCTTTTTCCCCTGTGGACTGGCTCTTTACTAAGACCCAAACCACTCAAAAAGCAAGCTCTTTAGTTTGGCTTGTCGTTTGACGGGATACGGGTAAAATGAGTGTGCACGAGAAATATTCATGACCTTAATAACAATTCATTCGGCGCACATAACATCTAARATCTTCTGTAGTTCTACGAGCTCGAGTGCGCATAGTAAACTTCATTATCATATGTTTATAATGGGCTATAGGCAGTTGAGCAATTGGGGCATCAGCTCTTACTATATCCAGTCGCCTTAGGTAACAAATTACTTTTTTAATAAATTAAAAATAATAATAATATTTAAAAAAAGATATCCAGTGTTTCGTAGATCAGTTAAAACCAGGCCGACACTATGCCAGCAAAATATTTTGGCAAAATATTGTTGCAGGAAATGGGGTAGAAGAACCGTGTATTTGACATTGATCTTGATAACAGGTACACAAAGACGCAATAGATGGATTTCGATATTATTATTTTCAACTGAGGATTTGACCAGATGTGGCACAAGTCGACCAACTCGTTTCCGAGGTGAGCGACGAAATGGACACTTCTTAAAATTATCTTCGATGCAAAGCTAACACGAAAATACGATAGAAATCACACTTTTTCTAGATGAAATTTATAGCATTTATTTTGTATTTCCATGTTAGCCTCACATTCCATATAAGAAAGGGTCCCTTATGAATAACACACGGGGTTGAAATGTCTGCCCCGCGTTTGAGAGATACCTAGTTTATAGAAAAAGAGAAAAGCATTTTTTTAAAGGAATTCGGTGGTTTTCCGCTACGGTATAAGCGGGTTTGGATTGGCCAATGATTAAACTAAGTCATGCACACAGACTGACTGATACGATTAGGTTCACGTTACCAAATACTGGCTAAATATATTGATAAATCTTTTGGTGTAATCCTAGCCAATCATGTACCGGTTGGGCTAGGATATGACATGCTTTGGGTCCACAGCTACTGTTACGTTTGACATGTGGGAAAAACCACTGAAATCCTACTCGAGTCTCTCCCTTGATTCGAGGGTTCTTTCTACGGGTTTCCTGGTTTTCCTTCCTCCACAAAACCAAACACGCTAAGTTCTACTTCGATATGTGAGTTGCCCATGGCCGTGCCCTGACTCTGATCAGCCCCGACGTTGTTTCAGGGTTCGATCTTGGAGGTAGTCGTGCCCTGATCATGTTATATTAGCTCAGAGGACTTTTCAGGGTTGGATCTGGGAGTTAGCGTGCCCTGACTTACATCAGTCCAGAGATTGTTTCTGGGTTCGATCTGTGAGTTAGCTATGCCCTGACTTACATCAGACCAGAGGTTGTTTCAGGTTCGATCTGTGAGTTAGCCGTGCCCTGACTTACATCAGACCAGAGGTTGTTTCAGGGTTCGATCTGCGAGTTAGCCTTGCCCTTACTTACATCTGCCCAGAGTTTGTTTCAGGGTTCGATCTCTGAGTTAGTGTGCCCTGACTCACATCTGCCCAGAGGTTGTTTCAGTGTTCGATCTGTGAGTTAGTATGCCCTGACTTACATCTGCCCAGAGGGTTGTTTCAGTGTTCGATCTGTGAGTTAGTGTGTCCTGACTTACATCTGCCCAGAGGTTGTTTCGGTGTTCGATCCGTAAGTTAGCCGTGCCCTGACTTACATCTGCCCAGAATATGTTTCAGGGTTCGATCTGTGAGGTAGTGTGCCCTGACTTACATCTTCCCAGAATTTGTTTCAGGGTTCGATCTGTGAGGTAGTGTGCCCTGACTTACATCTTCCCAGAATTTGTTTCAGGGTTCGATCTGTGAGNACATCTTCCCAGAATTTGTTTCAGGGTTCGATCTGTGAGGTAGTGTGCCCTGACTTACATCTTCCCAGAATTTGTTTCAGGGTTCGATCTGTGAGCTTGCTTTGCCATAACTTAGATCAGCCCAGAGGTCCAATAACATTTGAATGAAATCCCTTGTACGTCAAATCACGCAAATCAACCACCACGAAATATATCTGTAATATTTTTTCTTTCAGAACAATTTATGATTTTGAGTTACAAAACTCAAGCTAACAAAAACTAAGCGAATTGCCAAACTGTTTGAACGAAAACCAACTAGAGACGAAACTGAGTTTCTCTTAAATCGATAATAAATTTTTATTGTTCAAAAACACACCAGATAACTGACCAATTACAGAGCGTGTTTCCAGTCACTCTAACAACAAATATTTACAAGCAAAGATGTTTTCTTTTTATCAAAATGTTGAATTTCAAACCCCTTTTCTCGCGATAGTTGCAGGTTGGTTTGCTATTTATTGCACACTTAAAGCATCGTGTTCTGGATTTCAAGCACTTTGTTGGATTTTCAATAGAATGCGCAGCGCTCAACCAATAAAACCTACCCATGCTAACATAATTAATAATTCGAAATGAAAAGCACTCCTGTAATATTAACATATTTTCTTCGAAGTTTGCTTCAAAAGCATAAGAGTCTGGTGTAAAAATGCAGGTAAAGATGGGATTTTCTGTGATAAAACTAAAGGCATTGTACAATGAGCCTGTTTAAGTTTCAAACTTCTTCCTGTTTAGAAACGCCATGTCTACTGCGACAAATACGTTTTTCATCGTAGATTCTGCAGCACGTCACATGCAACCAATGGAATAATGAGGATTGATGAAACATTCGAAATAAAGCCACGAATGAAGTTAGAAATTTGAAACAGCTCACGACACGGGTACAAATGAACCTTTTTTCTCTCGAGCGCGAAGATTTTTGAAATAAAACTGCACGGTTTCTTCAGGTAGTTTGAGCTGTCTCGAAAAGAACTCTCTCGTTTCTTGAGTGATAAAACGACTAGTGTTCATGAAGTAGTTCTCCATAGCTTTCTTGGCGAAGTTTGGGATGTACGTTCGTTTGCCGCGCCCTCCTAACTTAACACGCGGGACGACTAGTAAATCACCTGTGGAGCTGGCAGCCGAGGCAGCGAACGATTCCTTTCTTTGTACCCTCTCTTTTTCGATCCTCCACGCGGCCGAGCAATAAAGATTATAGCGTTCCATGGGGGTTCGATTGGTTAAGAACTCATAAATCTTGTGATAATGCTCTAAAGACTTGTTCTGGTATGGCTTAGCGAGGATCGTGTTATCATAAGCTGTATCTTGCATCAGCTGGCATAGCCGCCCCTGGGACACCCCCAAGATCACTTTGCAGATAACTTTTTGGGCGATCTTTTGTTGGGCGATTTCTGTAGCTATCAGTCGTTTAGCCTCTAACACTTTTACTGGAGGATCTTTTAGTCTGATGCTGTGGGGGCATGGCTCGTCTAGATCTTTTGGTTCTTCTTTAACTCTTATGATCTCTACTTCTGGACCTATGTAAAACCAATGCATTTATCAGACGAAATAAAATGACCAGAAGCTTTTTGAATAGTCATAGCTGATAAATAAAATAATTCAAAATACTTTACATTTAATTTGAAGAAAAAGTGCTAAAAACTACTATTTATAARACTACTAGCTCCGCTGTATAAACTTAACCTAACTCAAGTTAAATATTCTCGTAATTAAACGTATAATTTAGAATCTGATTTTTAGCGCTCGATTATTATTTCAGATGTACCTCTTGTTAAGAAGTAAATCAGAAGCCTGGCTGGTTTTTGCTATTCCATTAAGTAAAAAAACAAAAAAAAAAACAAAAACAAAAAACAAAAAAAAAAAAAACAACAAAAAAAAAAACAGATGGATGTTATGTTATAGTTGTTATTTTTGTTTTGTCAATAATAATAACAATATTTTGGTCAAGCGCCAAAAGTATCGCCTAAATTCCGAAAAGCTTTTTTAAAACATCTTTGTATGATCCAGAATAACCACAACTATATTCTTTGGAAGCACCTTTTGTAGTTTTGTGAAACTAAAACAGAGGCTAATAGAAACTGGAATTAAAAATATTAGACTATATGGCTTTATAAAATGAAAAGACGAATTAGTCATAAAAGAAAAACTAAAAATTATTGAAAATACTTTGGGGGAAAAAAAAAACAAGATAAAGTTGCAAAAAGAAAAACAAGTAATTATAAAACTTACGAAGTACAATTCATACAAAGCCTGAATTAGAATTAGATTCAATTGACTAATTAATATTAATTTTGATGTTATCCAAAGTATACAATGAAGAAGTGGAAGTAAATGGTCATGGTTTTTCTCGGAAAGGCTAAAATAAAAATAAAAATGAAAAAGGAGAAAAAACCCAGATGATTATATCGATGGAATGGTATTATTTTCATATGAAAAAGTATTTAGAAAGCAATTAAAGAGTAAACACACTTAGCAATGCTTTGGCTACTTTTCATTGTTTATAAACTGGCTAGGCTAGTCAATCCTATGGCTTGCTATGAAAACCTCGTGAAAACTGAAATTGAGAAAGACTTCTCGTAATTGAACAAAGCCAAATTACGTTATCGAAGTTGAAAACCCTATTTTCCCTCTTGTAATCTATTAACTACATTTATCAGTAAATTTTTACAATTCAACGTGCGTTTGATTGAAGAGAAACTGACTTAGCATTGAGTTCTTTGAGGTGTTAGAAGCCTTGACTGAAAACTCACCTTCAGCAATTATGATGACTTGGTTATTGTCGACTGCCTCTAGAGTGTGGCCTTCAACTGGCTTGGGAGGGAATCCAACAAGTAAATTTGCTACCTCACAGCCAGTTGCTCTGCCAATTCTCTTCCTTACCTCATGTAAGGTAGTCATAGTGTGAAAAGATTCTGTCAGTCTTCCATGTGGCGTTCGGAAGGTATACTCAACTCCTGCCATGATGAAGTGCCGACTTTCGTCTTCATCAACAACTGAACTGAATTTGATGAGTTTAGCTTTGGCATCTAATGCAAAGGAGTCTTTTTTGGAATTAGATATTTCCCATGACAAAGGGGATTTAAAAGATCCGGATTAGAAGAACCATGTGGGATTCAGACGGATTAAGAAGGATAAAAGAAGATGAAAGGAATCTCTTTTATTGACAAGCAAGATGGATTAGCGTGAGATTAACAGGGATTTCAGATACGGAACCAGACGTTGATTGGACCATTTCTAATCCTAGATTAATTTGGTTCCAGGATTGAAAAGAGATTACAAACCAATTTTTATTCCCAACTAAACAAGAAAACAATTCGAAATTTGATTGTGAGGACACCGACCACAGCTCAGCTCTGAGATCTGTTTGAGATAACCAACCAAGCTGCCGGAGCACAACACGACAGTTTAACACTAAGATCCCAAAACAGTAGTAATTAAAATGTCTACAAGTCCTTAAATTGATACGAAACGATAAGGGAAATTAAATAGATAGACATCGCGTAGAAACATTGTTTTGACCTGCCCTGGTCCAAGTAGACATGACGAACCACACATGCTTACTCATGGCGGATGGTTAGAGTGCCAATGGGATATAAGATGGGCATCGTTTTTTTTTTGTTTTTTTTTTTTGAGATAGCAGGTTGAAAAAGAACTGACGGAAAGAACATGTGGGGTTCTGTCAAAATCCAGAGAAATTCGGGGTCTCGTGATACATACAACTAAACTTGAAATGAAAATTTAAAAAAATCATTATTTTGTTCTCCTTTCTCACCTTAGTTCAAGTGAGCGTCGCTCGAATGTATTTCTTATTCTGTATCAACTATCTTTGTCAAAAGAAAATAGTCATTTTCTGACGGGATGAATGAGGGTTTGAAAGGTTGAGCCTAGAATGGCTGTGAACGAACGGTACGGATACCGTGACGAGGTTGTGTTGGAGCATTTTCATTGGGTGAGCATGAACCTCGATCGCTATGATTGGTTCAAAGGATATCCTCCGTACTGTACGGTGACCGCGCCATTTTAAATTCAGTAATTTAATCTAATTTTTTTTCGATTCGACTAAAACGACCTGGTTGTAACAACTTTTACCAATTGTTGTAATCATAATATAAAAACCTGAATGACACAAATACTCGAATCAAGATATTCAGTCAAACTCATCATATCAATTTATGACTAACGCACACAAAACAATTACTGGAGCCGGTAGGGGTGGGGTGGGGGACCGATAGCACAGTGATAGCAATTTCGGCAAAATTCCTTATATGAATAAACCTTTGAGAACAAAACGGTAACTACTTCGGGTTTCAACAGTTTGGTCAGTATTGCACGACCAAGTATCCTCGGTTGTGTGACTTTAAAACGAGCTTAGCCGCAATAGCAGCTCGTCTCGTAACACAGAGAGGGTTAAGACTGAAAAAGCTCGAAGGTACTAAAACTAGATGAATATTCTTTATGACTTGATGTTCTATTGCAATGATGTGATAAGACTCGTCCGCAAGGCCGAATAACACGAACGCGCTTAACCTGGCGAACAAATAATCTTTACTCAATTTATGGAACATGGAACAAAACATGGGCTATTATGAATGGTAAATTACTCTAAATCCACAGATAAATACAGTTCTATATTGAGTTACCTACTAATTTTATCAGACAGTATTTAGAGGTAATCTGGAGTAAGATTGTACGACTAGAAAGAGTTGGATATTCAGAAACAACTCGTGGGAGGTGAGGTGAGGTCGGATTATCAAAGGGTCGCCCATGCAGTTGTTGTAAAGCAGGAAACTCAAGAACAACACATTAAGCTTCTTTAAGCGTCTAGAAATTTATCTCTGATCGAGGATCGAAGTTTGTTTTGTCAGTAAACCAAAGTGGGGGGCCAGGGATCACGGCTGAAAGCTGACAAGACGCAAAAGATTTCAGCCCGTTGTCAACGAAAGTTTCATAACAACAGATTTCCTCTTATGGCTCGGAATTAAAGATAAGAAACTTGAGCGCAAAATAATCTCCCTACCCCCACCCCCTAACAAAAGAAACCGCAAAAGATGGCGCTTTGATCCACTAATTCCGAAAAAAAGATGAATTAGTTAAAATATATATAAAAGTTATTAAACAACGTATTCTTTTTCTAACCTTATATGGGGTACAGGATTTTCTATAAGATTGCCGTGTTGGCATATCAGCGGATATACTCTAGGGATCATGCGTAGTTTAAATCTCTTAACTGTCACATGTTCTGCTAACTATTTTATATCTTGCTCGCTGGCAACTATTAAGAAAAAAACAACTTCTCCCCCACCCCTACCCCCTACGAAAATAAAATTTATATTCTGGACTTTGAACCTGTCAAATGCAGCAAGGAAATTTTTAAAGAGAAAACCACGCATGTTTGCCATACATATATAATGTGTTGTGTCAATCGATGAATTTTTCTACATTTAATTGAACGGATGAGCCATGTATCGCGTTACACGCATCTGTTCGATTCTCAAGTCAGAATATTTTGGCATCTTGGGATTAGCTGAGCTAAAAGGTTAATGCACCTAGGTAAACAAAGCATTAAGGAAAACTAGACATGGAGACCCTAGTCCGGTATGTACTGTACTGACAGAGAACTTGGGGGTCGAAGGTAAAGGCAACAATGATGATTATGATGATGATGACGACGATGGCGATAATGTTGGTGGCGGTGATGATGATGATGGTGAAGATGATGGCGATGATGGTGAAGATATGGCGATGATGTAATGATGATGGCGACGATAAAGATCGTGATAGCGATGATGATGGTGATGATAACGATGATGGAGACGATAATAATAATGATGATTACATAATTTTTATCCAACCAATCTTGCGACCTCATGTCGCAGTCAGACAATGTAATATATTTATACAATCCATTGCCTTTCGATTCACTGTTTCTTGTTCATTATATTTTATGAACACACTACATCATGTGAGAGCACTCGAGTATCAAACGAACACCATTAAAAGTGAGGCGAGGCTGAGAACTGTAAATGTAGTGAATATATATACGAAAAGGTGGGAAGATAGAGACCCTTTCCTTCCTCCATCGCAGGCCACTGTCCCTAGCGCTACATACGTATAATTCCTAGATACTCACTCGGTGTGCTGTCTTCTATGGAAAAGGCTTGTGCAAGACCAGTAAATGTTACTCCAATTTTCTTGTATTCGCTTTTGTAGGCTGATATGACAAAAAAACATTAAGGTTAGATAAAATAATATTTATAATGCATCTTTTGGTCATTAGATCGAAAAACTGTTCTTAGCACTCAACAAAAATATGAGCACGAGCAGTAGCAGCAACAACAATAACGACGAAAACAATAAATACTTTTACAGTGGCATTTTCACAAAGTGGTTCTAATTCATCCACTGACTTTAGAAGTTGATTCAGCAGCAAGAGATTGAGTTAGCAGCCGAACAACGACAATAACAACAGCAACAAACAGAAACAGAAACAGCAACAAAAACGATAACAACGTCATCCCACAAGTCGTTTCAGGATAGAAGGTTATTACTAAGACGAATCTAGGAAAAATCTTTTTTTTCTCTCTCGCTTTTTACGCACAACTCACTAAAGCCGTGAAGCACGCTGGGAATATTCACGAAGCAACCAATCACAATTACTCACATCCTGTACATTTCTCGCAATGCGTCGTTCCTCTGTCTACAATATTTTTCACATTGTCGTCCATTGCCTTGACAAACCTGCCAAAGTTTTCAACGTAGTTTTCACTGAAAAACAAAAATTAAAAAGATTAAGAGGAAATTTTTTTCAATAATGAACAATAATGGTAAAAAGCGCCAAAAACTATACTTTCGTATGAGTTTTGACCCCAATTTTCGTTTTGGGTTAACATTCAAAACCTTTTTTAAACAGTTAGAAACTGATGTACTATGATAAAATGCCTGTTTGAAGCGGTATTTTCAATTGTACAAAGATGTTTTGTTGCATTTGTGTTAGAATGTTGCTTTGTAAGGCTTTTTTATAGAAAATATATGGGAAATAAGCAAATGAAGGCCTAAACCTCATATTCGAATAAAATTTTTGCTTTGGGTTAACACTTTGATTCCACTTTCATCGGTCATCTCCACTTCCAAACAAGTTAAACTTTCTGAATAAAAAGATTTTAGCCTTGTACAACAGCCTTTCTTCAAGAAAATAGTTTTTGGCGCTCACTGCTTGAATACGAAAAGAATCGACAACACCACTCAATAAAATTTCCAGACGTTGTACCTGACCTTTTACACAACAATAGAATTAGAAGACTCCATTAAACTACGAAAATAAAAAAGCTAATTAACGATCTGATAGGTGCATTGAGTTGTCTAATAAACCTTCATAAAAGATCCAAGCACTCTAGATCGAAATGATAAGGATATTTATGGGTGAGATATCTGTACTAATAGCTTTTAGCACCGGCAGAAACGGTATTTAAAACTAGTCAGATAACCTTTAACTGTCGAAAGTCTCGATAATCAGCAAAGCCGTTCAAAGCTTGATAGATAAACTTTAACATCGCCGTTAATAGCTCGTTTTCCTTCGAAGTATACCTTCTGTTTTCACTCTCTTTGCTGGCACAATTGTCACAATTGCTTACTTGCAAATATTTAACAATTCACAGGAATAAAATTAGTATAGGTAATAGGGCTACATACTGTCCAATTTGGAAATAATTGGATGAAAACAAATTCCGAGGGCTGACAAAATTGGAAAAGGCAGATAGACCGAGTCCAATTTGGCAGTCAGAGGAATTTTTTGAATTCAATTATTTCCAAATTGGACAGACATGTAGTCTTATTGCAGATTAATTATATCATCCCAAACTATGCTAGACTGATTCCATAAGTCATAGTTTTTCCTCGAAAGAATGCGAATGAAAACGATCCAAATTAATCTTTAATTTGGGCAGGAAAGAGAATTTGAAAGTAATACAATAGTTGCTTATATAGGATCATAGAGTGATGGAATAATCATACTATGAGAGAAAATTATTTCAATAACGAGCAATAATGGCAAAAAGTGCCAAAAACTAGACTTTCGTATGAGTTTTGATCCCAATTTTCGTTTTGGGTTAACACTCAAAACCTTTTTTAAACAGTTAGAAACTGATGTACTATGATAAAAAGCCTGTTTGAAGCGGTATTTTCAATTGTACAAACATGTTTTGTTGTATTTGTGTTAGAATGTTGCTTTGTCAGGCTTTTTTATGGAAAATATATGGGAAATAAGCAAATGAAGGCCTAAACCTCATTTTCGAATACAATTTTTTGCTTTGGGTTAACACGGTCCCTTGATTCCACTTTCATCTGGGTCATCTCCACTTCCAAACAAATTAAACTTTCTGAATAACAAGATTTTAGCCTCAAGTACAACAGCCTTTCTTCAAGAAAATAGTTTTTGGCGCTCACTGCTTGAATACGAAAAGAATTCTCTCTTAAGACATTGTTACAAGTTATTGAACCTACAGTACTATTTCTACTAGATCCATTTGAGGCTGAATGCATTTTTGAACATTTCATTCTGGAGAACCTTGAAACTCTAATCTCGAACATGGCCTATTCAATTCATTTTTTGATATTTTCATTCCTTGTTTTACAAAGCTTTCGCTGTTGTATCACAGCGTGGAACAATCGCAACAGAGCTAGGCTCCAAACTAAGTGAAAGCCCAAAGATCGAATTAGAATGTACAAGTTGATTTTCGCGGAGGGAGGAAAACCGGAGAACCCGGAATTTAGAAGTTGATTTTTGAGGAGGGAGGAAAACCGGAGAACCCGGAATTTAGAAGTTGATTTTTGAGGAGGGAGGAAAACCGGAGAACCCGGAAATTAGATGTTGATTTTTGAGGAGGGAGGAAAACCGGAGAACCCGGAGAAAAACCCTCGAAACACAGGAGAGAACCAACAAACAACTCTACTCATATACGACACCAAGCACGGCAGGGCTCGAACTCGGGTCGCATTGGTGAGAGGCGGCGCATTAGCAGCGCACGCCACCGGTACTTTGACTGTTAGACACTAATCATAGAACCAATAGAAGAGTTCTTAAATTCTCTTGATATAGAACTTTGATTGAAGGGCCAAGTGAAGTCACTCTATTGTAGGGTACTTACACTGCATAGACGGACAGTTTTGTAGGAGGGTTGTCAACTGTGTTAAAAAAAGCTGCCCCCATGAATTTATCGTTTTCTGCTTTTCTTTTGCCTGCTTTCCAATCCTGCAAAATAACAATCTCGGATTAAAAAGAACTTTGAATCAGAGTGACCAGACACCATAGTTAATAAAGGCAACTTGTCCCGGCCTCTTATAAAGGAGGTATAGTGAGCATAAGTCATGTTCGCATCAGTAAAAAAAACTGATAACCGCTAGCCCAGTTGATGCAGAGCCTTTAAAATAACTTAGAATAATATTACAATAAACTGTTAAGGTATTTATCATCCAAATATTAAAATTAGAGTACAAAAACGCAGGAGAAAGCCTGGAGCGAGTACAATATGATCCTGCGACCTGCAATATTATGTACTCTAAGTTATTTTGTACAGTAAAAATAACGGTTTTCAAAACTAGTTTAATAAATCGTTTTGAAGCTTTCTTTTGGAAAAACCTATGCTCAGTTTAATAACAAATAACTCATTAGACATTTAAGGGTTAAATAAGAATTGACATTTTTTTCGTCCGCGTGCTTTGTCCTGCTCGCCCTATCCCGCTCGAAAAACACATTAGACTCAAAAAAATATCCACCAGTATTGCACACTAAAATGTGTGCAAGATCTATTTATTGGTGGAAGCTATAGTTACTCACCTTTTCGCTATCTGAGCAAGTAAGAAAATGTGTAACGACAGAACAGTTTGATAACACAGGGTGTTGACAAATTCGATTCAACCACATTTCTAGTTTTTCTCTTCTTTTCTCGACGAAATCTTCACCAAAACGACCTTGAATCAAATAACACAGAAAATCAATGTAAAAAGTCCTACGGGATTGAAATTTAACTAGTATCTCTGAGATAACAATTACACAATCTAAGCAACTAAGAAGAAGCTCTGAAATCGTTCTGAAAGAGTATTCTGTGGCTAGTACATTTTGTACAACTTTTAAGCGGCAAGAAAGGATTCCTAGTAGCACCTTTACAGAACAGAAATGAAGACATCTCATGATAGAAACTGTGGGTGGAAAGGGTGTGTGGATACAAGATAGATGTACCTGCAATCTGTTTGTCTGGTATTGGTGGGATGGTGATAAGGGTGTAT